CTCCCGCCATAAATTTATTTTCATTGCTACTTCATAACTGTAATTTTGCTAATGTTATGAATTACAATGCAAATATCTGTGTTTTCTGATGGTCTTAGGCGACCCTGCTAGCGGGTGGCCCACAGGTTGAGAGTCGCTGCTGTCGAGCCTAAGACCAGTGGAAAACACAGATATTTACATTACGGATCATAACAGTAGCAAAATTAGTTATATGAAGTACCGTATTTTTCGGACCATAAGACGCACTTTTTTCCCCCCAGAAGTTGGGGGGAAAAGTCCCTGCGTCTTATGGTCCAAATATAGCCTACACATATACTTTAAAAAAAAAGTTTTTTTACTTGCCCGGCTCTGTGTGGTCTCTGTGTGCTTGCCCAGCTCTAAAATGGTTCTAAATGCTGCTGTTTACTTTACAGGGTTAATTACATGTGTTTATGACTGTGATGTTGGGTTTTAATGCACATAAAATATTTTAGGACACTATTTGTTTCAGAATCTTTTTTTCTTCATTTCCCTTCTTTAAAAACTGGTGCGTCTTATGGTCCGGAGAGTCTTATGGTCCGAAAAATACGGTAGCAACCAAAATAAATTTATGGTTGGGGGTCACCACAACGTGAGAAACTACAATATATGAAAGGGTCTCGGCATCAGAAAGGCTGAGAAGCACTGGTTTAAAGGGAGACGGTGAGTGGGAAAGCCCGGATCCCAGCAACAACTTGCCATGAACTAGCGGAATGACCTTGGCATTTCATTTAACCTATATTATTTTATGTATCAATATCCTGAAAAGAACAATATCAAAGATTTGGAGAACAAACTAATGGTTGCCAAGGGAACCCCTTTAGTTGTGCTACCCCTTTAAGTCATCATTCCTTTCTCCACCCCAACCCTTTGCAACCGCTAATTCCTTGAGATGATAAAACAGTTTTGTATCTTCATGTGTACATATGATAACATTTTACAGAACAGAAATGCAATTAAAAACCGGTAAAATCCAATTAATTACAATAAGGTTTATATTGTAATTAATACATTGTGTCAATGCAGATTTCCCGCTTTGCCAATGTATTTATAGTTATGTACAAGGAACCACTAGAGGACCTCTGCGCTGCTTTTGCACCTTCTCGTGAGTGTGTCATTACTTCAACACAAAAAGCTTGTCCATAAAAAAATTTTAAAAAAGGGAAAAAAAGTTTGAAAATGGGCGAAAAGGGAATTCCCGAAGAGCTTATACTTGCTACCATGTGTCCAGTACATACCGCGTGTCAGTGACTGCTTCACCAGTACTGTCGGTTACTCTTCACAACAATCCTGTACAACGGATTGTGCTGGTTGTCTCTGTTTTACAACTAAAACTGAGCCAGAATGCATGCAGATAAGCATAACCAATAGATGAAAAACTCTGTGGAGGGGGGGCATGTATGGGAGTGGGGGGAGGGGTTGGTAAGGTATGTACACATATAATACCTTAATAAAAAATGAGAAAAAAAATAAATAAAAATAAAAATGTTAAAATTATATATATATATATATATATATATATATATATAGAGAGAGAGAGAGAGAGAGAGAGAGAGAGAGAGAGAGAGAGAGAGAGAGAGAGAACTGAGCCAGAAGGAGCAAGGAACTCGCCAAAAGCCACCGTGCAGGTCAGGGGCGCACTGGCCCTGGACTCCAGCCTTTCTGAGTCTAGACTTGGGGATCTTTACATCCCCAAGCCCTGGTTTAAAGGGAGACAGTGAATGAGGAATCCTATCCTCATAAACTCAAGGAATCCGCAAAGAAAACAAGCCCTGGCTTCTGCCCTGTGGCTAAGACACCAGGCGCTCAGAATGGCCGCGGGCCGCCAAAGGTCTGACCCGAGGCCGCCCCCAAACTCGGGCTCAGCTCGCCCCCGGGCGGCCGGCTCTCCGGGCGCAGCCCAGGCTCCGGGGCGCGGGGCCGAGGGGGGGTGGGGGGGGGGGCGGCTGCCTCGGAGAGGGGTGCGCCTTCACTACACCAGGCTCCACAGGGGATGCAGGGGCCATCGGGTTCCCTCTGGGACTGGCATTTTAATCTACATCCCCTGGGGTTGTGAGGATCACAGGAGGAAAGCGTCCTTTGCCATAAACAGCGTCGAGCGCTGGTTATGTTTTATTAGAATCATTTGTGTGCTGGGGACCTTGGAGAGGAAAGGCAGGCCGGCCTGCAGCCGAGCTCTGAGTGGCCCCCAGCCACCCCTCCCCATCCACCCCTCCCCATTCATCTCCTCTGCCCCCCTCCCCGGCCCCCCGCCCCGCCCCAGCCCGGGCGGGAGCCGATGCCCACGCGTCCCCACGCGCTTACCAGGACCTGCCGTGCACGCCGAGCCTGGCCAGCGGAGCGGGCCTGGACGTTCGCCTGCGGTCAGCCATCGTCACAGCCATCGCGGGCCCGTAGCTCCGTCCCGGTGCGTCCGGTCTGGGGTCGCTAGGAGACCGCACAACAGCGACCTGCGATTCGGTTTTCAGCTCCCAAGCTGCCGGGGCGCCCCGCCTCCTCCCCGCGAAGCCGCTTCTCCCCAATCCGGCCTTGCACCTTGCACCAAGGTCTCCGACGCCCGAGGGTGGGGGACCCAGGCGAGGGAAAGGTGAGGACCAGGGCCTTGATGTCATTATATTTTAACCTGTTGGGAAGGCGTTTACATCTTCCCACTGACATTTATCCTAAGCTGGGCCCCAGGTCTGTTTTGCTCACTACCTTTAAAAAAAAATGTTTCTTTTTAAAAAAAAATATATATATATATATTTATTGATTTTTTTACAGAGAGGAAGGGAGAGGGATAGAGAGCTAGAAACAATGATGAGAGAGAATCATCAGCTGCCTCCTGCACACACCCCACTGGGGATGTGCCAGCAACCAAGGTACATGCCCTTGACCGGAATTGAACCTGGGACCCTTCAGTCTGCAGACCTTCACTCTATCCACTGAGCCAAACCGGTTTCGGCAAAAAAAAAAAAAGTTTCTTGAAGGAAAGAAAAGAAGGCAGCTGGAGATAGAGAGAGGGAGAGGGAGGGAGAGAGAGAGAGAGAGAGAGAGAGAGAGAGAGAGAGAGAGAGAGAGAGAGGGAGGGGGGAGGGGGGGAGGGAGGGAGGGAGAGAGAGAGAGAGAGAGGGAGGGAGGGAGGGAGGGAGGGAGAGAGAGAGAGGGGGGGGGAGGGAGGGAGGGAGAGAGAGAGAGAGAGAGAACGCACATAGAGGGGAAGGAATAGACCGATGTCTCGTGGTGAGAAGGCCTTTTAGCATGAAATGCCTGGGCATCGCGGCCTCTGCCATACTGGGCTGCGCACGCATGCCTGTGAGTCACCAGCCGCTTTCCAGACTCCATTCCAGCGTGTGTTATTTGATTCTTTTGCCTTGACCCACTTCCAGCAGGGCAGTTACCCTCTCAGTTGGCCCTGGTAGGCAGATGCCCATATATATCCTTGGGTTTTGCTCATTTCTCTTGTTACTTCTGGAGTGTTTCTGATTTTAAATATTAAGCATTGCTTCCAGAGAAAATAGCAGCAACGCGTTCTCCTGTCTCAAAATTATTGCAGTCATTACATCGTGTCTGTTCTGAGAGAATAATGTCTGTAGTCATTTCAGGATGTCTTCTGATTTTCAGACTATTTGGCAGTAAATTGGTCCCACCTTTAGGAAGCCATCAACCATCTGGATTAGGGGTGTCGAACTCAATCAGAGAAGGGGCCAAAATCTAAAATCCAGCCTAAATTGCGGGCCGAATGGTTTACTGAACAGTCATAAACTGTCATTGTGATGGAAACGCAGCAGAGTGCAGTGATGACAGTGCGGTGCGGGCCACATTGCAAGGCCTGGCGGGACGGATTTGGCCCTCGGGCCTTGTGTTTGACACATGTGATCTGGATAGTGTTAAAGGTGTCCTGAGTGATATTCGTTCCAGCAGCTACACCTGCGTGTGTTTAGCTGCCCTCTCTGCACACAATGGAGAGGCCTGGACTCCCACTGCCTGGCTTAGATGAATCCTCGCTCTGCAACTTAATGATGCACTCCTGGGCACGGTTACTTAAAGGTTTATACGCTTCATTGATTTCTTGCTCTGAAAGTGGGAGAAATAATAGTTATTGGGGGACTCAATGAGATAATAAATGCAAAGCACTTAAAACAGTGCTAGCAATACAGAATCCCTCAATAACTGCTGAGTACTATTATTACCTCAGCTGTGAACGGGGGATTAGGTGTATTTGCCCTGTCTACTTCATAGAGTTGTAGGATTAGTTAATGGAGAAAGTTATCAATGTAATCATTATAAGTTGCCAATGACTTGTTTTCATTGTTTGATAATATCTTTGATATAGTTTGATTGATTGCAAATTCAAGCTTCATTACTTTGATAAAGTAGGATTTCTCCAAAAGACTGAGGGTAAGCCTCCTAGTACCATGCCTGGCACTCAGTTGGTACTCATTCAACAACTAGTGTGTGTTATGGCCATGCTAGGCACCAGAGATGCTAGGCAATGGAGAATTAACAGACTTGGTTCTTGGTACTTAGTCTCTAGTGTTTGTTGCATGAATTAAGAAGAGTGCACCTATTTTCATGAATTTTGCATTCTCACAGGATAATATTTGCTCTGTGCAGTAGTTTTGTGTCCATATCTGGTAGGAGACAACTAACATTTTTATTTCACCACATTCCATACCTTAATTATAGTTATTAGCCAGGAAAATCTCTCTTATTCTCTCTCTCCCTCTCCCTCTCCCTCTCTCCCTCTCCTCTCCCTTCCTCTCTCTCTCTCTCTCTCTCACAACACAAAGGTAAAATGTGTTGCATATAATCTAATGAGTAGATATTATTTAACAATGAGGATGAGGATGTTCCAGGTAATTTTCTAGCATTATTGCCAGGTAGTATGACCATTTCATTTCCAAATAAGATTACTTAAATACCTAGAACAGGATTGCCCAAAGCTATCACTGCATCTTTCTCACACAAGGATTAATTACTCTCTATAGCATGATAAAACATACTCGGCAATACTTAGTTATCAGTACTTTCCAGAAAAAGAAGCATTTGAACAACAAAAGCAACAAGAGGTTAAATGAGACCTCTTGTTGGTCCTGCCTTGGTGGAGCCCTTGGAATCCTCCCTGCAGGACTATCTTGAGCTTAGACAATCTTACCCTCAGCCTAGTTCTTACAGAATTTCTACTGATGTACTCAAAATGGGCATGAACTTGCCAAGAAAAATAACAAAATCTATGAGGAAACAAGACACAATGACTAAGAGTCAGTAGAAACAATAAAAGACAAAATCAGATTGTAGAAACTTTATGTGTTGAAATGTTCAGATGTAGAATATAAATACATGTGATTAGTTATGTATAAGCATGTATGTTTATATATATAAAGTAAGCATGCTTAATATGTTTAGTAAATAATAGAGGGACTTGAAAATATGAGCAAAGTATAAGCAGCAATTTTAAAAAATATATCTGAAAAAGAACTACATCGAACTTAAAGAAATGAAAAATATTGTTGTAATTAAAAACTCTGTGGACTAGTTTACAACAGATTAGACCAGCTCAAGAGAAAATTAGTAAACACAGATAGCTCTGAATTAATGCCTGGAGTACAGCAAAATAAGTAAAGAAATAGAAAATATGAAAGATTTGGGTGAAAGAGTAAGAAAGTTTAATATACTTCTAATCAGATTTCCATAAGAAGATGGTAGGGAGAATAGGAAAGAGGCAGTATTTAAAAATATAATGGCTACAAAAGACAAAAAAGCTGACATCAGAAGTAGCCAAATAGAAAAGATAGATTACTTACAAAGGAACAAATAAGTAGACTAAAGCTAACTTCTAAAGCAATGATAGAAGCCAAAGACTAAAATAATCCAGCTTTGAGTGAAAAATAATTATCAATTCAGAATTGTATATTTAGCATAACTATCTTTCAATAACAAGGCTCAAAAACACTTTCAGACAAACAGAAATGGCATAATTTTATCATCAGCAGACCAAAACTAGAGAAAATTCTAAAGGTTCAGGTGAAAGGGAGAAAATTACTATTATAAAATACAATAGAATGTTGAAAAAATATTCTTTTAAAAAGTGAATTGTATAAATTAATAATAATGTCTATTTAGTGGAGATTAACAAAAAATATTTTTCTGAAATATTGGATTTTTTATTTAACTGAGAGGATGATAAATATATTGATTAGGGAAGTGTAAAGGAAGACGTATTAGATAGATATTAAATAAAATAAAACTGATATAGTTATATTAATATTAGACAGAATGGAATTAAGGGGAAAAAGATAATTATAGATATATAAAGACTACTAAAGATTATTAGGCATAATGGTAAGAAGTTCAATTCACACATATACACACTAGACAGAGATATACAATTTTAAACTTATATCTAATAATATGGGTTAAAATATAAAAAGAAAAATTGATACACCTCTATAAAAATTGATTAATACATTCTAATAGTAAGATTTTAATACAACTCTCAGTAATATATCAAAAGGACCAAAAAAATTAGTGAGGACCAAGGATTCAAAGCTTGATATAATGGATATATGTAGTACTTTGCATCCAACAATTATAGAAAACACATTTTTTTCAAGAACATTTAGAAAATTATATTTGCAAGTTCATAAAGCAAGTTGCAACGTTATCTCAACTGGTATCATTTAACTCACACACTGTTAACAATGTGTCTACATAAAAGTATTTATTTGAAAATAAAACAAAACAGCCGAAACCGGTTTGGCTCAATGGATAGAGTGTCGACTTGGGGACTGAAGGGACCCGGGTTCGATTCCGGTCAAGGGCATGTACCTTAGTTGCAGGCATATCCCCAGTAGGGGGTGTGCAAAAGGCAGCTGATCGATGACTCTCTCTCATCGATGTTTCTAGCTCTCTATCTCTCTCTCTTCCTCTCTGTACAAAATCAATAAAATATATATATATTTTAAAAAAGAATGTACTATTATATGCGGGCTGTATATTAAAATGAATGAATAAGTAAATATAAAAAATTTTAAAAAAAGAAAAAGAAAATTAAACAATACACAAATAATTTATAGGGGAGTAAGATATCAAAATGGAAATTTAAAAATAAATGTAAAAATATCAAAAATTGTAGGATGCAGCTAAAATGATACTTAGAGTTAAATGACCTTAACTTATTAAACTAAAAAAGAGTAAAGGTTAAGACCTAAATAAATGGAAAAACATCCCATTTTCATGGATTAGAAGACTTAATATTAAGTTGACAATACTAACCAAAGTGATATACTAACTCAACCAGTCAGCACATCAGATATATGGAAACAACCCAATTAGAAAATAGGTGAAAGACTTGAATAAACATTTCTCCAAAGGAGATATTGAAATGGCTGGTGAGTACATTAAAAGATGTTCAACGTCATTAGTCATTAGGGACATGCAAATCAAAATCACAGTGAGATACTATTTCATACTAGAATGGCCATAATAAATGAACAAACAAAACAAGGATTGGTGGTGATTGGAGAAACTGGAACCCTTGTGCATTGCTGGTGGAAATGTAAAATGGTAGAGCTGCTGTGAAAAACAATTTGTCAGCCCTTAAAAAGCTAAACATAGACTTGACATATGATCCAGCAATTCCACTCCTAGGTATTTAAAAAATATATTTAAAAACAGAGACTCAGATATTTGTTCAT